TTTTTTCTGAGAGAAGTTTCAAATACTGGATTCAAAAAGCATATGAAAGTCAATTATCTACTTCGAACTGTGCAATAGTTGATCAACTGTTCTGAATTATTGTGGAAATGTGTTTGAGGTATTAGTTCCTGGAAAATAGGTTCGTTTTTTGGCTTTCCTTATTGCTCAACAAAATAAGTGGGAAATTTACGAAACAAGGAAGAAAGTAATTAAGTTCGAATTGAATTTTTAAGAAATATGTGTAGGTAGATCATGCATAGAAGTTTCATTCATACTGGAAGAAGAAGTCTTGTCAGAATAACTACTTTCGCGTGAACATTGAATTACACAAAATGAAAGTCTTTTCGAAACAACTACTTTCATATGAACATTCAATTACACGAAAAATCCTTTTTTTATTCAGTCTGTTTTCCAAACATCCGTTATGAAGTTGCAGATTGAAAACACCCATTTTCAACACCACATCAGCACCTATTTGAACTTTTGAAGACGAAAATACACGCATTTCTTTCACAACATTACGAATTTATGTCAAGGGATGAGACAAATCTGCTCGTGTCACGATATCAGCACATGAAACTTTCATGAGGTTATTTGATTCTATTCCCAACCATAGGAACTTCGTTTAAATTAAAAGGTGAGACGTTGTTCAGGAGATGTTCATTTCACTATTTTGGATAAATATGGAGAAGTAGAAGACCCAAAATGCTAAAAACTCTCATAACTTGGTTAACGAAGATCGTTTAGAGACAATATTATTGTTCTGGTGTGAGAAAAGTGTTTTCAATAGACGCATTTTTAGGTATTTCGTGGCAGCATATGATCTCTTCAGAATTGTCATGATTTATTTGTGATTGAGTGGAATCTAGTGTAAATCTGTACTGTTGCGATAATGTTAGAAAAATGATATCAAAAATAAGTTTATTTCGTTTTCAACTTACTGCATTGCTTGATTAAATACCCTTGATAGACTAGCAGAAAAGCCTTACCGTTCTGCGGTTAAAATTGTAACAACTCACTCTTTTTTTAACCCAATAACGAAATAACCGCAACCGCCTTCACTCAGATTTTCAATTCTTGATTCACTAATTTGTTATCTATGGTATGTTTTTATAATTTCAGGTTTCCCAAAATGCGTTATCTAAATTAATCAACTCTTGGATTATGTGTTTTCCTTCTGATACTTTTTGAAAATCATGACATTGTTTATCATCTGTGATATTTAAAAATCCTATCAACCATTTAAATAATCTGCATCTGCACCATGTCTCGGGCAGCACTCTCTTGCGGTTTCGAGCAAATAGCAGACTGCTTTAACAGCTACTGAATAACAGGTGAGCAAATAGCAACCCATCTCCAAGGGGAGACAGGAATACTTGTACAGTTAGAACTCGTTCATAAAGAAGGTAATGCTGTTATTTAATTCCTCAAATATAAGTTGGATCCCAAATGTCTGATATATATTCCAACTTACTTTTCACCAACGAATTATCAATCGTGATTCATTCAAATAATGACGAGAAAAATTAAAAGATACCCAAAAGAAAACATAACTTCTTTGATATTTCACATATCATTTCAATATGATAAAGCAATGAAGCAAGTCTCCTAGATAATATTATGAAGCAGCGTTTCTTAAAATTTAGCTGTACTCGATTTTGATAGCAGTAGTCAGATAGTAAGTATTCAGAATTCCCGAAACAGTTACAAATGTCGCTTTTACGATATTGTCATAATGGATTATCTGATTTAAGTTTTTTTAATAAAAATCTAACCAAGTCAGTGTAATTCATTTTATTGTATTCGTTTGGAAATATCCTTACAGGACGAAACCGCAGTGGCATAGATAGTTTTATTTCTCATTTTTCATGATGATCTACCACGTAGTAACGACTACATCCATCAAGTTAGCAAAGATGAATTGTTTCCATTTGATTGAAACACTTTGTTTCGTGGTATCTACACTGGATCCTCTGTAGTTGTGGATCGTTTTATATTTATATTTAAAAATCACGAAGAAAAGTATAAGTATCCGGCTTTCTGAACACATCAGAAAATACCCAAGGGCTTGATAAAACTCAGAGGAACAATCCAAAATTATATAGGGAGGCCATAGAAATTTAGAAACACAGAAATAGTTCCAATCGAAATGAAAGGGGTGCTCTTTTTTGACTTTGACCAAAGTTTTCTATATTATTATTCCTAACTTCATTATCAACAAATTGTATTCACCGGTATTCAGAGGAACTTTCCTTCCTTGGGTGAAACCGTACTTGATTTTTAGAAAATGTTATGTAAAATCAAAAACTTCCAATCTAAGTAATTCAATATGGATCTAGGAGTTCTTCAGGGATCTATCTTAGACCCTCAATTCCACGATAATAAACCTGCTTGTCATTGCTTGTTCGTGATTTTTTGGCCAGAAACAACACCGTAAGGATGCCTCAGCCACCGTATTTACCAGATTCGACCTCCTGCGACTTTTTTCAGTTCTCATGAATAAATGAATATTTTTGAACAGAAATGAAAATTTACCTTCTCATGAATAAATGAATATTTTTGAACAGAAATGAAAATTTACCTTATTTGTTGAACAGACAGCGTAAGATGTTGAGAATGGTATCGGTTTTCTCCAAAAAGATAAATGTCTCCGAACCGGATATAATAATGACAGGAAAGAAAATTTTGCTGTCTGCTTCGATGAGTTTGTTGGGGGTTAAAATGGACACCAATATATCTTGGCACACTCATGTTGCTGGAATTGCAAAGGCTGTTTCTCAAAAACATTGAACACTGTTCCGAACCAGAAAACTGTATACACCTCAGCAACTACTGATGCTTTATAAAGCTCAGAACAGAAATTCTTTGGAGTATTGTTCTCATTTACGTAGCTCCACCCTTAAGCATACCCTGAAGCTGCTGGATTCCATCCAGAAAAGAGCCATCCGCCTGGTTGGAGACGCGAATATCACTTGCAACCTTGATAGTCTGGAACATCGAAGAAAGGTTGGAGATTTGTCTTTTTTTTATATATACTTTCACGAGAGGTGTTCATGTGATTTGGCACATTTCATTCCACCAATAGCGGTACATATCAGAAATACAAGACGGACTGTGGGTACTCATTGTTTTGAGGTTCAACTCAGTACACCTCGAACTTCACTGCTTAAGAACTTTTTCTTTTCATTTGGAGAACCGCGTGTATTCGAAATAAACTTCCTGAGAACGTTTTTCCAAATTAATTTAATCTTCAGCGATTCAAATCAAACGTCAATCGCTACTTTCGCACAGGCATCGCTCTTAGAGCGCCTTAAGGATTTTCCTGTAGTGTTTGTGTTGTGTCTTGAAAAGAAATTTTGTAGAAACAAGAATACAATATGTAACATGATCTTTGTCGAGTCAATTAGGATATGCTATGTGAGGTAAAACCTCAGCGATATTTTTTGATATATTCAAAACTAACACAAGTAGAAACAAAAAACGAAACCGTCAGTTCCTGATTTTCCTCAATTTCTTCTGAATATCTATTTTTTTGACTGATCACGTAGTTTAGTAGTAACTAGTGAATGTTCTCTTCATGATATCATGAAAGTTACAGTAGTAATCCGGTTGAATGTAGAATACAGAAAATAACTTTCATCTAATTTCTTCTAAGTTTATTATTTGTTACGATCGGTTTCGGTTTATTAGACCATTTTCAAGTAACTGATTTACTTGAAAGTTACTTGAAAATGGTCTAATAAACCGAAACAGGTCGTAACAAATAATAAAATTGGTAGAAATTAAACAAAATTTATTTTTTTCATTCTATTGTAACGATTCTGAAGCCGCCCCTGACCGATATGTTGGCCAGCGAACACATGACATCACCGCAAAATGAATTCAGTCGGCAACCGCCGGTTAAATTCTAGTTGAGTACCGAAACGTCTACAGAATTCTAGAACGATCGTTACCGATATATAAGGCCGGCTTCTCGTCCCAAGAGAGCAGTTGAGTTCAGAAAGCGAATCGAGAGGTTAAACAAGGAATTCACATAGTGAAGATAAATTAAGTGTTAGTTGCTAAGTGTTGAATATAAATTAGTTTATGATTAAAAAATATTGTTAGAAATAAATTTGTTTAAGACCGTTAATTCTTTAATTTGGTACACTATATTCAATATGACTTTCTACAAAGTAAATAGGTCATCAATAGAACAAGTAATCCGGTTAGTTACTTTATTTTCTTAGTACGGCTCTGTTCAATTGCACACTTGAACATGTCGATTCATGTCCTTATAACTTTAGTCTGGAATAATTCTCTAAGGGCCCTGTGCAAACAGGAGATTACTTGTTTAGTGAAGAGTGAGTGGAACATGTTATACGAGTACCGTATCGATATTTATAAGAATAGTGAAATTTTAATAGTGAAATGGAATATTGAAAAATGAGAAATGACTTTCTATATTTTTTACCATTTTGATTATATGTATATAAAAGTGGTGAATAACATAGAAAGTTTCTTTTCCCACGTAGTAACGGCTACACCAATCAATTTATTGAAATGGAATACTTAGCAATTCAATAATATTCCGATTATGCTCTTCCAGTTTCGAAAAAGCAGTATGTAAAAATGACCTTTCATACATTAAAATAACATCTGTAACAACCACACATGAAATCTTAAAAAAAATTGACTACCTTACTGATTACATCTTGAAGCTGAAGTCGATACAACAAATGGGCGAATAAGGGATCATCTTTGTCTAATACGCATTCAGACAACATTTTCTTGACTCGGTATCCGCGTGTGCAATAAGAAAAAATTATACTACAGCCAGTTAACACACAGACACTTTTGTAAACGTTTTTTGCGTCTAAAACAACGCCGAATCGAACCCTCTACATACTTCATAAAACCGCTTTTTCGGATTTTTTCTGGCGGAAGTCGTTATCTACAATGATTAGCATTTCAGGCGTAAGACCGAACTGGAACTTAGGAGTTAGTCGGATAGCAAGTACCTCAACGTGCAATTATCACCTGAGCGATAAACAAACAACTCGCTGATTAGGTGTTATCAAGGATGATAATGATGTTGTTTCCAATTTGGATGCGTTGATGATTTGTATTGTTCACAAGTCCCTATAAGTCTTGTAATGGATAGTTTACGAGGTGAAATCTCAAATATTCCGTAAGTTTAGAACAAAATTTTAAAGTGGATTTTTTACATTTCATTAGGTGAATTTGAAGAATCAATGTGGGTGTACCTAAGGGAACAGTACTTGGTCCGATCCTTTATCTTGCTTACATAAACGCAAGAACACACATGAATAAATTAGACGATCATATAATGGGTCTTGTTATTGAGATGGGAAAAACAAGTACCATATGTAATATAAAGGATGAGACTACTTATTTTCAATATATCAGTCTTTAGCATTATCCATAATGATATTGTATAATAGCATGGGGCGATAAATTGGATAGGGCTTTTGTGGCCGAGATTTCCAGTGGAATTGCAGCTCCAAACTACGACAGCTTTCAAACCCGAATGGAGATAGTAACACTAATAGCATGGGATGTTAATAGCTTACAAATAGCACATAACTCAATTTTGAGAATTAAAAAAAATACTTTTTTAGTGGATCATCTATAGCAAAGGACTAATTTACTCATCGTAAGATTATGAAATAGTTATACCAGTGTCTAGTATGGATGTTCTCGAACTTTAACAACTATCTAACTCATACAACAGTGAGACCTAGAGCAGTTGAGAATACACAAAGATTCTTGTTCTGTTATGGTCCAAAATTGTACAACCTACTCCCATTAGAATTGAAAACGGCGAAAAAAATTATTAAATTCAAATATGCACTCTAGCGATTCATAATCGAAAACTCAAAAAAATTAACATATACTGAAAAAAGAAATAAATTTCCTACATAGAATAACAATTCCTATACCATCTGTATCTTTTCTTATACAAGCATATACTCAACTTATATCTACTTGTTTTTGTTTTCCCTATGAGTTTTGAATTTTATTTTTAGTAATTGTATTACTATATAGGTTGGGGTTTTCATACATATGATTGTACATATATAACTCTTATCTGAATGAGTAATATACCACACTTAAGGCATTCCAATGCCTAGGAGGAAGTTACTCGTTAAAGATAATTGAAATCTAACGATTATGTATATTATCTTGAAAATAAATTTGATTTGATTTGAAATGATTAATTCGGTATATCCATGAGAAAAACCCTGCGTGTCTTAGAGATATTAATTATATTTAGAGGAAAAATTAGAAACGATTGAATCCCGTAGATGAAGTATATTGAGAATATTGGATATCTCACTTGAGATATGCATTTTGTATTTCTGCCGCAAAATCAAACTGTTCGTTATTTATGCAAAGTCATACCACGATAATCAGGTAAACCACTTCTTATCAAAACCTTTGAAATGTGTCTGACTTATAAGAAATGTAGCCCGAAAGTTTCTCAGAGGTTTTCAAAGTGTAATATTCAACAAAAACAAATGGAAAACTTCATCCCGTGGCAACGCTTCACGATCATAAATAGCTAAATAACTAAATTCTCTAGAAATATCAATTCATAAACAGGATTCATGAAACTAATTTTACAAAAGTTAGTTATATCTATGCCTAAGTTCGAACTCTGAACTAATCCACATTCGGCACTAGTCTGTCTGATACTGATATCCGAAACGGTCTGTGGATATAACCTATTCGAACGCTCTAGAATATTTTTCGGATCCCATTCGATTGCGTTCTTGAGCGATCTTCGTATATCAGAGACTTGGTACACATGTTTGAAAGTACCAATGTGATGGCACGATGCAGAAGTCAGATGGCAAATTTCAGAGATAGTTCATCGGGTTTTCAATGGCGGGCATTGGCCCCCTCGTCAAGTTACTCCGTCCCGAATAATTTGTTTGCTTCATTCAGATATATTCAGATTTAACCATTTGGAATAAACATTAACATCGCATCGATGTAATGTTGATGATCAGTGAGTGATTTGCTTTTTGGCGAACAGACTAAGTCGTTTATTCAGAGATGGTTTGATTTTCTCCTCCTACACTGCTGGCAGAGTTTGATGTCACTGTGTCATTGATTGAACTACTGTTTGCTGCTTTTCGCGTGTGGTTATGAGCTTCGGTTATGACATTGTGAGCAAATTCAGCTATAGGGTGTCTGCTTCCACAATAATACTGCTGGATAAGGGCATTACATGATCCCTCATGGTGCTGTTATTTGCTAATCGGTTGACATCCCAACGATAGCTTTATCCTAAGGTGTGTATAATGTATTTCTATGCTGAGAGGATATATGACTCTGAGCCCATCTATTGTCACTAACGTAACCTTCGAAATACTGGGGTCCTTTTCATCGTAGAAAGCCTTGTTTGCTTTGTCGTCTTGGATCACCTTTCCTTAGCTACTCGTGGGACCGTTTGTGGATCCTTAAGTTACCAAAGAATCCGTCTCTAAATATGCAAAGAAAATGGTAGCCGACTAAACAACCCTGACAGCAGCAGATCGCGAGTAAGATCTTCTTAGTTCCCCTATTGCTTTTAAGTTCTCCCTATCCTTCCAACAAATCTAGCAGGAGAGATGGTGAAGCGATTGAGTCGTCTTCTCAAGAGCAGTTCTGCGTAGCCAAATCAAATATATCGTCAGGTATGGCTGACTTACAGATATGATCCTTGTGTGAAGGTGGTTGCGCGCTTCAAGGTGGGAATCTTGCTCATTATTCGACATTCTCAATATCGACAAATCAACTGAAATATCTTCGGTATGCCATTATAGCTGAGGATATACTGAAATATGGTCTATAAATACTACTCCATATCTGCACATTCTGGCCTTGATGGCTAAAAATTACCTGTAAGAATTAGGAGAGCGTCTCCTAGCTGGTAGTTGTGGTTAGTACCCTGTACATGGGAGAACACCTTCATGAAATGCGTCTCAGAAGACTTATTTTTCAAGCCACACATCTGACGAAGGTAGTCGCAGACTGCCTGAAGCATGGTCTGTCAACCTTGGTTTGGGTTGTCCCTGCCTCGCTGCAAACCGAATCGCATTTTTGAATGTTTGGCGAAGTCTCACTTTCACCAGCTGACCAGAAAGGTCACTTAGCAAATAAGGTGAAAAGCTGGACTATTCGTTTGAATTTGAATATGCCTTCGCGGTTCCAGTAGAGGATCGAATATTCCCACTTGCCATGTACCTACCCTATCTAATATTCTCAAGTGCGTTTTTATTCTGCAGTTTTCCAACATCTAGTACAACGTTCATGGTCGGATATCAACATATTATCAGGACTTGCTGCATCTCGGTGTCCTTTAACCTGCCGGAGAATACTGGCACTCCAGTCTGCTGTACAAAATTTTAAGGATTTTTGAATTAATTAGTATGGAGATATCTGCTTTCATCTCCTGCAATGTCTCATGTGGTTGTTTGTATCGGCTTCTGAGTTGTCACTGGTATACCTGCTTCAAGTATCGTTGTCCATATCGGATTTTCAGAGCTTCCACATTTTTGCTGCTCTTTGGACCGTTATTGAGTATTTCCAGTGCCTGACTTCATATTGCTATTACTAGTGCAGTAGCCTCTTCCTTCTTCTTTGTTGGTTGTAACTAGTGCAGTTTTCTCGAACGGTACATAACCTTCGAAAGTTGGAGGTTCCAGAATTTGATTTTTTGATATCCTTGAGGTCCCGATCGACTCTGTTGAAGGTATGCCGGTCAAATGGCATGTGGGTGTAGTCGAATTGGTCTTTTAATTTGTTCACTTATTTCTTCGATCTGATCTGTTCTTCATCATTTTTCATCCATTCCATGACTATCGTTCTTGCCCAACTCATTTTGCCATAACTTTACTCTATACCTGTTGAGGAGAATATAAATACTGGCCCCTAACAGCTAGAACTGAACAAAGGCAGATAACGACCTCGTCGTTGAATCATGTAACTTCAGTTTCAATTGGTTATTGAAAATGGCTATATCTTTTATCGGTTGGCAATGAAATGACAGAGCTACTCTGCCAATGGAAAACATTAAATTTAAACTAACTACAATTAGGAAAGCATTAGTTTCTACAGGAAACTGATGTTATATATATATATTGAAATGATTCTTATAGTTCAAAAAATGAATAGATACTCCAATATTAACTGAGAATGAAGGTAGTTTCAGAGTTTTATCATGCTTGAACATTTCGATAGACTTGAATAGTAAATATTGCGAATGAGCATTTTGTGATAATAGACTTCGTTATGGGTTTCACAAAACCATTCATGTAAAATATTCATGTTTTTCAAACATGAATATTTTAAGAGTTACTACTATCTAGTTTTGTCTACGTTTCAACCGTTCTACTGATCGATTCTCTCACCATTATTTGAGACGGCTTTTTATGACCATTAAATCCCTTGTGTCTCATGAAATCTTTCTTTAATTTGACCTAAATTTATGTCATTTAAAAGTAAAGAAATAATGATTATTTTATCAACCTTGGAATTTTCGAGATGAATTTCAAAACAAATTTGTAAGGAGACTGAAAAATCATTCCTTACTATAGACTTACTAACACTGTTCGAAAAACTGATTCATTGGCAACTGAACCGCAACTGAATCAGGAAAAAATCAAGAGTTCCATTGGAGTGATCACAGAGAACTTGAACTTTCGGTCATTGAAAATAAAAAAAGGGACTTGAAATCATTATACGTGGGCTAACAATTTTAGTGACGGTATTTAGGTGTTGAAGTAGCTCGTAATTTACTTACAATTACAAAATTACCAGTCATTATGAAGGTCATGTTTCTTCAAGCTTATTAGATTCATGTTGATAACTAAAGCTGTTAAATGAAAATACTATTAGTGGATTTCAAATTAGATTCCTTTTTTCAAGCGATTCAAAAATTGAGTAATTTTTTGAGTCTTCATATTGACAAAAAGACAAGAGCTGATTGGGAATATTATCTAATATACTTATGAGGTTGATACACACTGGATGAAAATACGTGTTGAAAAGTACATGTTGAATAGTAATTTATTGAATGTCTGGAATTTTGCTAACTTTTTTGGGAATATAAAGATTGCATTATGACTGGATCCTCCGGGAGAAGTAAATATTAAGATCAGATAGTTGTTGGTACACAGTTGCATCAAAAAGACCTTCAGGTTCTGGTGAAGGTAATAATAATAACAATAATAATAATAGGTCTTTATTCCCAGAATGATACAATAAATAAATGTGGACATTTACTGAAACGGAAAAGGCTGAAGATCAGTTGGTTGAATCGTAAGATGCAACCTCTGTTTTTCATCTTAGGTATTTTTAGTCGCAGACCCAGGCATATATATCAACCTGTGTAAGGACCTATATGACTGTTTTCAAGCGGAAATCTACGCTATTGAATTGTGTGCGGAGAGATTGGTAGAATCCAACCTCCTACACAAGTCAATAAAAATATTCTTGGACAGTCAAGCGGCGTTGAAAGCTCTTGATTCCCACCAAGCAACGTTTAAATTGATAGCAAATTGCCAAAAAACTACTCTAGCCAATATGAAGACCTAACAAGATGTCTCTGGTCTGGATTCCTGACCATACTGGCCTGGAAGGCAATGAGGCTGCTGATCCCATTGCAAAGGAGGGTACTTTAAGCAGCTTCATCGGACCAGAACCTGTCATTGGTATCGCTTTAGGCTTTGCCGAACAAACATTGAACTGGTTGGCAAGAAGATTTACGAACTTCTGGCAATATCTTCCAAGGCGTTCATTCACCCTTCGAAGCTTGAAACCAAACAGTAGTTGGACTACAGTATGGACTACGATGTCTAACATGTCTTCTGACTGGTCACCGACGTCTGAATCATCATATGCAGAGACTGTCAGAAGACAGTGTGTGTCGCCTTTGTTTGGAAAATGATGAAATAGCGGAGACATACTTTGTGTCTGCCCCTCTGCGGTTTTCAGAGTTTGGCAGAACCGCACTCTTACTATCTGATCTGAAAGATCACTTATCATATGAACTAATCGGCTTCGTCAAGAAGCTGCGTTGATTTGGTCGAGTTTGAATAGATATGAGCCACAATAGACTCTTACGGGTTGCGGTGGATGGTCGAATAAACCCACTCATTTTTGACCTAACCTCACCTAACCTAGAAAATTCCAGGATATGATTAAAGATGAACATCTGATTAACGATGAA